GGGGGGGGGGGGGGGGGGGGGTTTTTTGGGGTGGGGGGGGGGTATTTATGGTCTCGTGCTGAGTCAGACTGGCACCCGCCACCGTCCACCCCCCACTCTGCCGTGACTCATTAGGGGTGTCAAATTCAAACTCAAAAACCAGCAACATCCAGCTGGCCTCATCCGTGGTCTTGGTCAAAGTATGCAGCCATCTAGAACCTTCTGCCTGTCATTTACAGCTGGGGTTCCCAAAGTAACTAAATTTCTTTCAAGAGCAACACCCCCCTCGCCTGCCCCCCAGCCGACTCTGCTGTCCTCTGCACGGTCAGTCAACAATCGCATTTTTATGCTTCCAGAGGAATGTTCCGGAGAGCTGGTATGCCCCTTGCTGAGAGGGGTCAGCCGTGGCCCAGGGGTCCTCCCGAAATGGCGACGCACTCCGAGGGACTAAAATGGGAGCCTTTGGGGAACAGGACTGGGAATGTCATTGGGAGAGGAATGGGAATGAGAGGAATTCTAATGGCTGAATAACCTTCTGTTTGTGCTTGGGATCAAAACCCGGGCAGCATATTTGGGGAGGGGTGCAAGAGTCACAGCCCGGGGTGTCGAGGGGGGTGGTCTTTCATTCCCCTGCAGGGAGGACCTACTGAGGGGGGGCGGACAGGCTGCCTGGGGGGGGCACCTGGTTGGTGCCGGGACTTAAATTCTGGGTGGGGGGAAACTTCAGGTGAAACATAGAAAGCAGCTAAGTAACCATGACCAATCAGCTGGCTCTTAATCACCCTGGGTTTCGACCCCCCAGGGAAAGCGGACCCCCTTTAATCTCACTGCAGATGCCGCAAGGTCATGTGATGCTGCCGGTTTCGCCCTCACAGTCCTCGCATTCTGCGCGTCTTTGATGTGGCAGTGCGCGGGACTGGGAGATGGGGGGGGGGGCAGCATGGTTAATGGAGGCCACAGACCTCCCCCATCGCCCCCCAGAGTCACTGTGTCATTACTGAAGTTTAAAATTATGGTTCACTCCAGTGGTTTTTTTGGCCATCACTGCATGATGAACCCAGCTGAAGTCTAATGACTAAATTACCCACAATCCCCTTTATCCCTGGCAGATGTTTACGGTATCACTCTGCTGCCTGAAAACCATCTCTGCTTCCTGCTTTGAAGGGAGGGGGGTCTACATGCCCCCATCTGAACACCAGCTTCAATCTCAGGCAGGAGTCAGACAAAGCCACAACACTGCTAGACCCCCCCCCACGACACACCCACTCTTGTAAGGGGGGGGGGGTGGTCTGGCCTGCTGTTGTTTACTTGCCTTTTGCATCCTTAGCCGGGTGCTGGGGGGGGGGGGGGGGGGGGGGGGGGCGTTCCTTAGCCATTTGAGAAATACAAATTATTCTGCAAACCGAATAATGACTCACGGAATCAGCCAGACCCGGATCCTGCAGGTAATTAGTGAGGTTTTCTGGCCAGTTAAGAATGTGATGCGTCCAGGTTTCCTGCCCGGTCAGATTGACGACCGTCACCGTGACTCTCTCTTTGTGGTCTGTGGCTTGTCATTGGCTCACAGCGTTTTAGGCCTGTGGCTCAGCAGACTATGATAGGCTGCTGTTTCTGCACAAGCAACGGCAGTTAGGAGCTCAGTGTGATAAAAGGGAGGCAAGGAGTGAGTCCAAGCCGCCGTCTGTCTTGATACCCCTCGCTGAAGTGCACACACACACACACGCACACTCACAGAAACACACGCGCACGCATACACACACACAGGCACACACACACGTGCCGAGATACTGAATCATGCCCATATTCGGTCCCATTTTCCAACTCCCACGCGAATTCCTGCCCCTATTTCGTGTTTCCGTTTTTTCGCTGTAAGGTATCTTGGTCGCCGGGCTCCTTTTTTCCTCACTTACTCGCTCGGCCCTCTTTGGCTCCAGAAGCACGGCGACGTCGGCACTCTCGGCCCCCCCGGTGCCCCCCCCCCCAAGCCCGCCACAGGCGCTCTGAACTCTGACTCGGCTATTAATCATGTGCTGTGCCTTTAAACGCGGGATTAGGGGGTCGCTCTCCAGCGACTGCGGATGTCTGTGTGGGATTCTGCTTCGCCAGATGCCTTCAGCTGGCTCAGAGGCATCATGAAGTTATTCCTGGACCTTTTAATGCAAAGTCTTTGTGCGGCGGGTGGGGGGTGAAAGGTAATTGTGCATCACACTGGGTTTTTTCAGCTGCGTTTCTGTCCCTGACTGTGGTCTCCGTTTCTCCACATTGCTTCTTTCTTTCTTCCTGCCTGTCAAGAGGATAAAAGGCGCCCCCCCCCCCCAATCGCCCGCAGTTCTCGATTTCTGGACACAGAGACGTATCATGCTGGAATGCCGAGATCAGTGACCACAGTCTACCTTTGCTCATAGTTGATTCTCTGCGTGATTCTTGTCTTGCTACTTTCAAGGTGAAATTGCATGTTTTTCTCCGGTTACTGGTCACAATCGGGGACCTGAGTGTTATTGTCTTCCCTGCGAGCCTTGCAGGCCACCACGGCACTCATAAACGCTCCCAGCAGGCCTAGGCTCACAGTGAGTCATGGTCCGGGTTCGAAGGCACAGGAGACACACCTTAACTCCCTTGCTCTCCATCAGTGAGCTCCACCTCATTCGAGATGTTGCTCCGAGCTCCTTGTGAGAATTCTTGTGAGAATTTGCCCCTCCCTATTTTTGGGGCTTAAGTTTGCAGGTCGGAATGCGTTGAAATGATGGAGTCTCTCAAAAATTTCGCCTTTCTGATTGAAATGAAACAGGTTTTATTTGTGCTTTGTGCCCAGAATGTGTCTTTGTTCAGCACATATGAACATGTCTTATTTTAGCAACTTTTGGATTTTGTTATTTTTTTTGTTTTAGCAGATTTGTCTTTTCAGGCGTGATTGGTGCAGACGTCAAGGGGTTCCGCCTACCTTGTGAGGACCGTCCAATGACGTCTCGCATGGCCCTGATATGTGGGACTTCATCTTGCCACATGGGGGTGAGCCCTTCTTAATTCTAAATTTTGCCAGCTGCCTCTGACCTCATCTGAGTTTGTCCCGATATGAAGGAAGTGTGGACTCATCCGTCCAGCCACGGCCGTGAATTATTGATCAATTCTTGCTTTGAGAGCGATGAAGAATATTTTTAATGGCCGTCTTAAAGCACAAACCACTGCTTCTAACTGCTTAAACTTCTGGTAATCCTGTGATTCACAGCCTATCCCAGGGTAAAGCTAGGCTAATTCCCATCCATCACAGGCTAGTCAGACACATACATTATTTAGAAGCTCCCAGAGCATGATAATTTACTACCTCTGATTCTCCTGGACCACGTGTGTTTGGACTGTAGCGGAAAAATGGGAGCACTTGTTGGAAACCAGCAAAAAGGCAAAATTCTCTGATGTGTAGCTCAGTCGCTTAGGGAGTTTGTGTCCAGAAGGTTGTGGGCTTGAATCCCATGGCTGCTGGAGTAATCATATCCTCCTGAGACCCAAGGCAAAAAAGTGTCCTTCAATTGTAGGTTATTTGTCTTTGGGGGAAATAATACATCTTACAATTTAGATTTTTTCAAATTTATTCTTATTTTAATTTCACAGCATGTCCTCTTTAGTGTACAACAAGAATAAATACGTTTCCCAACATCAGTGAAAAAATAAATGCAAAAATACAATGTCCACTACAATGGACATAAATGAATAGGGTCTAACCTCCACCTGCTTTAGGGATTCTTCTGACCCCTGCTCTCTGTTCCTTCCTTTGGACAGAGGCATTTGCTAAATAAATATAAATGTAAAATAATCAAACTCTGCACACAGAGCTGGATGTGAACCGTCAACACCTGACTCACAAGACACTCAAATGATGCGAATCACTGGAATCTGCTTGTGGTTTATCTTCTGAAATATTTAAGGCATTTAGAGGCTGTCAAAGTGCTATTGAGTAATGAATGGACATGTGATATTAGCCTTCCTTTATAAACATCTTTTAAAATCATCTCTGGCTGCTGTGGAGAGCTCTCAGCGCTGTAAGCAGATACTGCTGTTTTTCTTGTCTGCTGACTCCTTTCAGCCGGTGTGAGTTTGCTAAAAGGGCGAAAGAGAAGATGCCAGGTAGAACTGAATCCGTGTGGACATGGGGGCTGCGCAGGAACACTGGCACCTGGAGCTGAAGGGGGAGTCCAGGTGTTTTGTTAGCTTTGGGTAACTGTTTCGTCGTCACGGAGACGTCCGCCAAGGGTCTTGGCAGGGGGCGGAGTTGCCGTGGGAACACCGGTCCAGATGGTCCGGGCTGTCACTCGTCAGCCCCAATCCTCCTTTCTTTGATCTGCTTCAGATATACCTACCGATGGACGTCGGCCAGAAAAGACACTTTTGAAAGGAGATTCCAAGAGATCAAAACGTCTGCTGAGAAAGGGATTCGGCCTTGTGTTGTGGTTTTGGGCGGGCCACTCCCACCGGGGGGCTCTTTGGGCTGCCGGGTCATTGGGACCCCCGGGCGTCGGGCAGCTTGGACACCGCTGCTTTTCTTCATTTTCATATTGTTTTTGTTTTCCAATAAACATGTTAACCATGTATGCTGTGGGATTCCCAGTGAGGAGCCCTAATGATGTAACAGCATCTGTGGGATTTGAACTTGTTACCTTCCGGTCTCATATTCAAAAGCCTCTGCCAACCACTTGTGCAGAATTGCTCCATAACCGAGCTTAAACTCTGCTTTCACTTGTTTTTCCACTCTCTGGAGGAGCAAAGAGCTTGTTGCCCTTGGTTGTTTACATAATTTCCCTCCCCTGCTGTTTCGGGCCTGCGTGGTACCGGTCGGACCCGTTTGCGAAGTCATGCGGCTCCCATTCCTTCGTAAACGTAAACCGCTGCAGACTGGCTGTTTTTAACTGCCGCTTCTCCGCCTGACGTACAGCTGAGAGCGGCCCTAGCTCCGCACGCAAACGCCACTTGGGGGTATTAGTGAGGGAGGGGCTACAGGGTGGGGGAGATGTGGGCTGATTACCTCTGGAATCCGGTGCAGCATCATGTAGCAGCGATCCAGACTCCGTTTAGATTGCTGCCTGATTTCAGGTGTTTTTCTCCATGATGAGGCACTGGGGGGTGGGGGGGCTGTTTAAAGGAAGCACTCTGTTCTGTTAAAGACCACTCTGCCTTTCCCGAAAAGTCTACGACTGGACTCTTTCTCTGAGACGCTGCCGTTCCAGTGCAGACGCGTCTTTGACCAGGTCAGTCGCTCGCCCTGACGACCCCACGTGTAGTTTTCCAAAATTGTCTGGATCCGCCCACTTCCATAATGGGAATCAGGGGCCTGGAATTGGCATCTACAGTATGGTTAGGGCAGAAGATCTCTGTGAGGGGAAAATGGCTCATTATGGGATAGCTACCACATGACATCAGAGGGTCCCTGGAGTTATTCTCTTCTTGCAGAGCACATGTCACGGTCCAATGCTTCAGAATCTGATTCAGGAACAGCCCCTGCCACGTCTTTGGTGACCCAGCACGGGGGTGAAAAGGGACCTATTGTTTTTGGAGTCACTATAAACTCTCCTCTGGCGTCAGGTCCCCAGTCACCCAGCAGGTGGGGTGATCCCAATACAACGTGACTGTAATACCGACACCAAGGCTTAATATGATTTCACAGCTGAAATGCAAGCTGGTTAAGAATGAATGATGTTATTCCACAGTGCACTTGTGGAGGTAGTGGGAACAGTGGGAACAGTGGGAACAAGCCCTTGACTTTGAACCATTGAGGGATGGACATCGACAGCAAGACACAGCTGCTGATTTGGGGGTGGGGGGCATGGGGAATCCCTGCGGAATCCCCCAGGCTCTTATTTTGAAGTTGGATTCCTCTGGGGCTGAGGTCATCTGACACCCTGTCGCACGGTGTGCCCTGGATGGACCCCAGCTGCGGGGCCGTCTAAACTGTGCCGGCTGCAGTGGGAATGTGAGCCGGGTTGGATGGGCGCCAAGTCCTCTTTAGACTGCTGGGTGTGTGTGTGTGTGTGAGAGAGAGAGAGAGACACCCTGTGGGGCTTGAGACACTCCATGCGCGGTTTGGCGTATCAGACAGCCCGACTCCTGGGATTACCACCCGCAAGTTCGGGATGGGGGTGGGGGGGGTGGGGGTGGTATTATCCTTCTCACAGTTGGGCTGGGGGACCTCCGTGTGCCTAGAGGAGTGGGGGACTTTCAAACTGCCTTATTAGATTTGGGGGATTTTTGGATCATATTGAAAGAGCCCGATGGAGATTCTGGCCGTGGTTGCTTGGGGAACAACTCTGATCACCACGGGCCCCCGCCTTGAAGTCTTTTTTTTATTACCTTAGACACGGCAGCATCAGTGTTTTTATGACACCTTTCAGTTGGTGCGCACGCCCTCCCAGGCTTTCACGGCCGTGTCAGAAGTGAGCCCAGGGACTTGTGGGAGTTGCCGAGGACCCCGAGATTAGCCGGGAGAGAGCCAGGTTTAGAATCTCGCGTATGTCTGCTGTTGCCGCTCCTTCCTTTGTAACGCCGTCTGTGGTTTGGTGATCTTGTCGGGCAGCAGTCAGACTGATGCTGGTAAAAGCCTCTGAGCCTTTGGCCTTTGCTGGGACTCGGTGATAGCACCCTCAGCTGTTATGGAAGGCAGTGAGGTTCTATAGGAGCTTTCAGGCCCCCCACCCCCACACCATTTGACTGGTGGGGGTCCCATACGTGATTGCTTTGCACAGACACGGGTTCCCCCCCCCGCAAACCAGACGCTGCACCCTGCCAGCCACTGTCCCGGGACGCTTACGACGACGAAGACCTGCTTCCTGCTTATATACCTGTTTTTCATTTTTTAAATCAGTAAACAATTTGTGGCGTGTGTAACCTTTAGGGAACATGATTTATGTATTCTTATTTAAAACCCCCTTACTTGCCACGTGTTGACCTGTCAAAGCCCCTGTAAAGGTCATATCCTGACCCATGTCTGTAATATCCCCACCCCCCCACCCCCAATTCTCCTGGTGTCTCTGTGACGGCGTGAAATATCTGGGTGAGAGTGTGAAAACACCGTCTGGTCGCCATGGTGCTTACAGCCAACACTGTCCTCCCCCCGCACCCAGATCAGCCAGAAGCCGCTCTACGTCCCTGGAGTGTGGGGGCCCTACTTTTCCGCCATGGTGCCAGGCCTCTGGCTCAACGAGGGGGGGCAGAGCGCCACGGGGAAGCTGGTTGGTACCACAAACATTTTTGATGTCATGGAGATGGAATTTTGCCAAGATGAATAACATAGAGACTGCATCATTTTGCACCATAAGAGGTTTTATTGGTATTAAGGTGTGCTGTGATGTCAGTGTGACCATGCCTGACCCCCCTTTACAGATTGACCACATGGTGGAGGGACACACAGCCTTTGCTCAGCTACAGGCCCTGGCAGACGAAAGGTTTGTTGTTCGTTTGTGTTTTTTTGCTTTTATTTCACCATTTGCGGTTTCCTCTCAGGTGCCATCACCATCGCGGTCTGCAGGAAAACGTCGTCTATTATTTGCCCCCAGGAAGTGGTTTATTACCAAAACAGGCGTTTTGTGTTTTTCCCCCACACAGTGCAGTTTATGAAGCACACACCAATGTACAGAATAGATGTGAAGAGCTTGTTTCCGCAGAACTCGGTCACAGAGCGATGGAACAATTACAGAATGTGCCGGAGCAAAAACCCAACATTTGCAAACAACAAAATGTAAATAGTTTCTTAGCAGGGTCTTGAAAGATGGAGGGAAACTGTTAGTGATGTTTACTTGGTCTGGCTTTTTGTTTAAGTTCATTGCATTTCTAGGGAATTGACGGCTGACGAGCCAGACCGTACTCAGGGGGGGTCGAGGGGGCTGGGTTGGGGTTGGGGTGCTCAGGTCAAGCCCACAGCCCCTCCCCCGCCCTCCCAGACACTGCTAGCCAAATAAACACGCGGTGGGGGGTGTGCTGGGGGTTAACAGGGCTGAGTGAGCTGGGAAACGGACCTTAGGGATCTCATTAGCACCCGGGCGGGCTGGACGCCCTCAGAGCCGCCCGGGCCGCGGCGATAACGAGGCCTTTAGAGCGGTGCCGGGCCAGGCCGCAGGTGCTGCCTGCTCATTGGTTGTTCCCAGCAGTCTTGTCAGCGGCCTTCTCAGGTTTCCGCTTGTTAAGAGCCCAGTGCCCCCCACCCCGTTTCCCAAACACGGTCAGAAGAGCTTCCCTGAAATATTACTAGGTGTGACTTAAATGATAGATTCTTATCGTAGCCGTGCGCGTCTACAGTGGCGGCATTCGCTGGTTTTCGCTCTTAGTATTTACACTTTGGGAGTGAAGCTTAAGGAGCCGTCATGGTCATATCCTCCGTGCTGACGGCTTTGCATTTAGCTAGCCACCAGTCTCCAGCATCAGACAGAAAAGTAAACATCTTGTTGAAAGTGCCCCTCACCCCCATCAGAGTCAGGCTGGCAGCTGGTGCCCTGTCCCAAACCTGACCCCCCCCCCCGGCACAGGGGACCCGCTCTGTTTTTCTAAGTGCCTTTCTTCTGTGGGTCTGTTCTTCTACACGTGGTCATGGGGCAGCGGTAAGGAAACCAACCCCACCCGCCCCAGCAAATCAACACCAGACTCCCTTCTTGGTTTTTCACCGCCCCCCCCTCCTTAAATGATGCCTGGTGGTGCTCAGATCCTTTT